TTGCCTGCCTGGATTGAACAAAGTGTTAGAACTTTAATCCAAGGAGCAGACTGGTGAGGTGCTGTCGGAGGAGAAACCAGTTCTGACTGGAAAGCTTTAATTATTTCATTTGCTTCTAAGAATATTTTAGAGGACCTGGAACAGAACAGAACAGGACAGAAAGTATAAGGAAGACAGTTGAGAAGCCAATTCCTGCTACGCTTATTCAAGTCAAGTGGTATCTTGCACTTTAATAGCCCATTGGGTGCCGTGGAACTAGTGGCTGTGTTACCAAGAACACTACTACTAACTAAAATGCTATTTAGTATGAGAAAAAGGGGCAGAATCATGCCTTGCATGCAGAGAAGGAAGGGCAAACAAGTGAAGGCAGAGAAAAGAAAAAGGGGGTTATGGAGAAAGAAGGGAGAGAAAAGAAAAAAATGGATGAAACAGCAATTTCTTTTTTTTCTTTTTTGACATGTCTTCTCTTTGTTGATCTTTCCTCTTCTATCTGTTGTTTTCTCATTCCCCGTTCCTGCATTGCTATATCTTTCTCTTCTTTGGTTATCTGTGTAAGGAATGAATGAGGTCAGTGAGGTAATATCTTTTATCAGACCAATTTCTGTTGGTGAGAGAGACAAGCCTTTGAGCTTACACAGAGCTCTTTTTCATTCCTCACCCACTTTGTCTCTCTAATGTCCTGGGACCAACTTGGCTACAACACCACATCATATAAGGAATATATGGTGAGCAATGCAATGAAAACAAAATAAGTTTAAACCAAAGAGGCATCAACCCTAGTGTAACTTGAGCAGGAGCCCAGAAAGGGAGTTCTATGTAACTCAAAGAAGACATTCCAGGAAGGGGATCCCTCCCTATTTTTGCTCATTAGATGTTGGCAAGTGAGGAACAGTCTTGAAGCAAATGGAATATTTCAGCAAACAGCGATCAGAGGGAGAGATAAGAAGTCCTATAATGAGTTTACAGAATTGTACATTGCTTTGCTTTCAATATGCCATATTATCATATAGTGTTTAGGATTAACAGCCTTCATAGTAAACACATTATTATCAGTTACTGGTAACATCTTTGAAACTATCCTGCTAGCCATTTTCTGTGCTGTTGGCCAGAGTCCCTTGTATGGATACCATGCAGGGAAATACAGAGGAAAGGCTACACTGTAATCATTCACAACAGGATGCATATGAGTGATGACATCTCTCCAAATACAGACTGGATGTGTTTTTTCTGTGTTTGAATAGTCAAGGAAACAGCTATGGATTGCCTTTGACATTAGAAATGATCACTGACTTTTTACCACTGTGAGATGGCTGGCAGCACCAGACTTGATATGATTTAATAGAAACTCTACTCATCTCATTATAGTACATTTGCAAAGTCTTTTGACTGCAGCCTGTGCTGTTGCTATAGCAAATTTGTAAAGTAAATGTAGTGGGCCAGATTCAGTATAAATGAAGCTTCATCCACTTTAACTTTTAGTGGAGCAACCTCTTTTAACCTGGACGGAGGTGTTAACCTAGGGAGACATTTTGGGGTCATCATCCCCTAAAGAGTGGGTAATGATAGCCCACAAAGGGGGCAGGCCAAGATGATAAGGATACGGGCAGATTCAGTGAACCCCATCTGCATGGCTGAAGCCCAAGCAATAAGTTAAAGGTGCCAGGGAGGGAAGCAATGACAACTCACCTTTGGGGTGAATCCTTCCCCTGGATACCCAGGGTCTTGGCAGGGTGTAATTTCCACTCCTCTGCATCAGCACTATTGTTTATATAGAGATTTTCATTTACCTGTGATCACCAAAATAACATAGTACCAATTTCTCCAGGAAATGTTGCTTAAAAGGTACAGAAGAAAAGTAAGAAACTGATGTTGGGATGAGATTTTCCGGCTGCAGTTTGCTGAAAATAGAATTGTAACATACAGTGACAGTGTGTACACTTTTTCTGCTGCAAAAGAGTATGGCAATGCCAGAAGCTTTGCATTGTGGGTTATATAGCGTAATGCACGATTTTAGTCTCTCTGTCGCACAGATAAGTGGAAAGTTTTAAGTAAAACAAATAAAATCACATTTCTTCCATTCTGGATAGCACACTAAAGTACAGTCGCTTCAAATAATGGGTTCATAAAAAAACTGGGTATCCCTCATGTGGTTTAGACATCTCATTACAGAGGGGCCATGGATCTGCAGATAGTGGAAGTTCCTTTTATGGAGCTGTCTTTCTGCTAAAATGGTTATGAACAGATCAATACATTTGTTATGAATGATCTTTTAGAACCCAGGCAAATGTAATATAGAAGTTTTGACAGAAATGGAGCCAAGTGGTGCTTTATAGCTTTCAACAATCATGCAGCTACTTCAATGAGGTGAAACCTGTGCCTGGCCTGTTGATTAGTGAGAGCCGTAACAAAAACAATATGAGCACAGCAGGGTTTGGATTTTTAGTAGTTACAGACTCTCCTTACACTAGTTTTCATACTGGGTGCAGTACCAGTATTGGAAATGTGTGCTGGAAGCGACATACATCATGTCATGTTTAGATATATGGTAGCTGTAATTAAGGTAAGCTACAATGAAAATATAAAAGACCTTTCTTGTTTTCAGCCATCACTCTGGCTATCCTTGGTGTTAGATTTGTTCCATCCTGTAAAGTGGTTGCTGCATCCCAGGGGTGTGACTGGGTGTGTAGACGAGAGATACCAGAGAGGCCCTGGCGCCAGGGCAAGCCCCAACCCTCCAGCCCTGTCAATCGTATGTTTGACACAGCCACAGAGGGAACTCCCAGCCAAGAACTCTTCATCCCAACCCTATGGAGAATGCAACAAAATCCCAGGATAAGCAAGACAGACTAAGTCCGACACAACAGCTGAGCCAGAGAGATTTCTCAACCCACTATTGGTGCTCTGTATTGTTGGCAGCATTGTGGATTCCCCTGTGCCCTTGAGGGGCTCTGGGAACGGGTTATCCTTAAATGTGTGAGGGCATTTGACTTTCCTTTTGATCCCCCCTCCAGAGATTTAAGAAGGCCTGCAAAAGGCAGGGCCCCCTTTTAAGTAATGAGGAACTGGGGCCTGTGCTGGAGTCATCCACTGTAAATAAATGTATGCGGTCAAGTTCTGCAACGATTTGGGAGAAAAACCTCAGGGGACTCTTTTACTAGTGGTCTTAGAGTAACCTGTTTAACAAATCTAGCACATTCTGGGATGTCTCCAAACCAATGAGAATTCAGTGCCTGAGCTCCCTAATCTCTCATTGACAACAAAAGGAAGTGGAGGACTCTAGCACCTCACATGATTGGGGCATGGTGACTAAAGATGAGAGCATCAGGGATTGCCAAAGAAATCAATAAATGTCATATAGATTCTTATTTTTACCGAATGACACACTCACACACACAGGTGAGAACGGAAAGGCCCTATCTGTTCTGGGTGGATAGTCAAGATCCCAGACTGCCTTTTTAAAGAGCTAGAATTTGCCCCACTCTTTTGCCAAAATGTTTGCTTTCTCTCATTGTGTAGTGTTCTGTACACCAGTGGCGGTAGTTCAGTGGTGCAGTTGCCAATAAAAACAGCAATTTTGAAGAGTTACCATACAACGGTATATGAGAAAACCCAGGCATTGTCTATTTTAGGCCTTGTGAAATCTTGTATGACACTCTAAGTAATTGTTGGCAAACACTGACTTTTTCATGCCAGCTACTGTACTCAGATTGTGAAATGCTTTAGGCTGCATTAAGGGGACAGGATAAGTAACATCTACAAATAATTATAAATGAAAGGCAGAACATTTACTTTTATAATAAGAGCTACCACTTGCAATGACTATAGCCCATATCTGAGGAATTCATAGTGACAGGTCCTCTGCTTTGGAAGATGATTTCTAGTTTTCACCTTCAGCCCATGATCATGTTGTGTCATGACCGCTGAATTGCGCCCTTATATCATGGTCTACCTTTTGAGGTATCAGCCTTACAGGCACAATACTTTTAGTTCATATTCACTTTGCTGTGTGCAGTACAGATAAATCACATTTAATGTAGATATTTGTGGAAAGGCTCCCTAAGGATGCTTATTTCAGCAGCATTCAGCTGCTACATAAGTAAAGGTTATTTAAAAAATTGATTTCCGTTTAAATAAGGGGCACCTAAACTGTAGTCTATTATGTTTAATTATAAGATATTGTAATCAGCATACATTGTTAAATATAATAACTTGCATTTTCTAAATCACTCCTATTGACAGCCCTTTGCACACCTCATGTAAGATAATTAAAACAAATTTTACAGAATAACGTAATGTCCAAGTACACAAATTTCCCCAGGTGGTTACGTATGCCTTCCCACATGTTAAAGACTCAAAATTAGGGACACTAAAAACTTATTCATGTAGGAAAGTTAAATTGTTGGCAGGTTAACTCTGTGGCTGTATGACTGGGGAAGTGACTGGCCTAAAGTCAGGACTCTCCCCATCACATCATCTTTCCTCAAACCTGTGGGTCTTTTATGGCTAAGTTAATGCTGGCTGTATCAGTTGTAACTTACCTGTATTCCGCTTTCCATCATTTTCTAGCGTTAATTACATGGGCAACAGGGAATTCCCTGGTTGTGTGGCTCCAATGGGAACCACATTCTCAAGAAGCCGGAGGGGTGTGCAGTAGACAAAAAACAGTTTGGAGATATGGGGACTCTGTGGGGATGACTCTGGCTTCTACAGATATTTGAGGATCAACCCAAACTCTTCTTATTTGCCAGAGAGACCATGTTCCGAATGTGTTCCTAAAATCCTATGGCAGTTTCAACTCGACACAGTACCGGCACAAATCCAAAACTGCCACCAAGCCCTCAATCAGCCCTCAACCTGTCAACAGGCCCTACGTTTGTTGTCTTCTGATAGTCTGAGTGAGAGTCCAGTGACCTACAAGAGGTGGGCATAGTGTTTTGTCATGTCTTCAAGGAGGAAGTATTAGTACAGTGTAAATAACTCTTTTTGCAGCCTCTGTTTCATGATTCTTTATTTCTGATGTAAATCATTTTCAACAATAAAAGCACAGACATCAGATATGTGGGGAACATTGGTAGCTTTGAGACTAAAATCAGTGACATCCCTGGAAATGAAAGGTATGCAGGTAGCATAAAATTGTAAATTCTAACAATATACCTCTTCAAGCAAGAATGAATAAAGAATTTACTATAAACCAGTAAAAAACTAACACTACTACAGACACATTTTTGCATAAACTAAGCTATGCAAACAAGTTGCTGATGTCATTCCATTGACTTCAGAGAAAGGACTTAAGAATTTGGCCTTTGGCGATGCCTCACTTTTACTTAATCCAGCATGTCTGTATGTTCAGCTTTCTGATGACTTAACAACATATGTAGACACTAATATATTGTTAACTGTTTCTTCCATGCTGGAGTCTTCATAGTAGAACAGCAATAAAGACATTGTAACAGCACTGCAATTTATTTATATAAAGCCATGGTAAAATGTTTACAATGAGTTATCAATATGGCTTGTGTTCTGCTATGCTCTGAGAGAAAATGTAATTCTGACCAAAAGTGATTAAATAAATAAAAAGGCATGATTATTTGGCTTATAGTCTATTGATTTTGGAGGGGTGCTTTGAATAACATACAATGTGCATATTCTTTTTTGGTTGCATTGTGCTAATGAAATCTAGGACACGATTGCTTTATGATCTGCAAGGAGCAAAATGGTCTTTCACCATTCATACTGGAATCATTTTAAGTGTTATGTTCATATTTTTGTCCAGGAATTAGTATAGGGATGTGCTCATAAAATGCTTGTTAAATGACACCCTTAAAAATTTTGTTTTTGAACTCCTATGATATTCCAATGGCAGTATTTTCTCAGTTTGTGTGCAATTATAATATATGAAATGTCTTAACTTACTGAACACCTGAGGCTTCTGTTTAATAAAATATGCTTCCAGAAGTGTGGAAATGCTCTAATCTTTCATCCACCCCCTTGCAGGATATTTGGACTGGAAGCACAAAACTGCTGCCATTTGATGCTCTTTAGAAGTTCATTTTACTAATGAAGCTGGCCCTAATTAATGGGTGCACCTTGTACTTGCAAGGACCCTTGCTAAAACAGTTGAGCTCTTTGTGTGTGTGCAGGAATTCACTCAATATGAGCTCATTACAGGTTCAGGGTTTTTTTTTTTTTTCCTAGCATCGATAATGGCAGTAAGCATATCTGGTGTTAGTCCATTTTCTCCATGCCAGGTTACACCAGAGATGTATTTGTCCCAAATGTCTTCAATGGGAGTTTTGCTTGAGTAAGATCATCAGGACTGGGCTCATTGCAAACAGACATTTCAAGTCAGGAGACTGAGTTCTTCCATAGGAGGCTGTTGAAAGAAGAATGAGAAGGAGTGGTGATTATTTATGCATTTGCTAAATAAAATGGGACATTTTATTACATGATCACTCCTAAATATTGAAAATACATTAACATATTTTATTTTACTTTAAATACCTTATGGTTGTGTCAGGGCAAGCTAATGTCATCTTTAAAATGAATTTATGTTTTGTTTTAAAATGAGTCAGGTATTATAATATTTTTGGAGCTCGAGTATTCTATTTTCTCTTGCGGCTTGTTCATTGTTTCCATTAAAGCCCTGTGTAGGCTTACAGACGTTAAGAATATAATTATGTTGACCAGGGATCGGCAACCTTTGGCCTGCAGCCTGCCAGGGTAAACACACTGGCAGGCCAGGATGGTTTGTTTACCTGCTGCATCCGCAGATTCGGCTGATTGCGGTTCCCACTGGCCGCGGTTCGCCGCTCCAAGCTAATGGGGGCTGTGGGAAGCGGCGGTCAGCACATCCCTCAGCCCGCGCCACTTCCCGCAGCCCGCATTGGCCTGGAGCGGCGAACCGCGGCCAGTGGGAGCTGCGATCGGCCGAACCTGCGGACGCAGCAGGTAAACAAACCGGCCCCGCCCGCCAGGGTGCTTACCCTGGCGAGTCGCATACCAAAGGTTACCGATCCCTGATCTAGACATCTTGGTAACACTCACAAATATAGAGTTCAAGAAAGAAGATACTTTTTACTATATTTGATGTATATTGAACTTTAATGTAAGCTATTCAGCTTAGTCAAGATCGTAACAAACATTTAATAATACCAAGAGTGTACATAGTGCTGCATCTGTCATAGAACTTTCCAGTAAGAACTTTCTTACTTCCTTACTTCCACACCTGGGGCCCAGGCACATGGGAAAAGGAGCACTGTACATCAACCTCCTCCCTGCCTGGGCATAGTGGGGCAAAGAATGTGCAGAGTTTCGGCTCTGCAGAACCAGTGCACTGGCCAGCAGAGCTAAACTGGAACACATTACTGGTCATTCTTGTTCTGTGGTAGGTGTTATTTTACTGTTCTGACAGCCTGGCCTACCTGGAGTGTCTCAGAGTGAAAGCTATTGATTCTCTACTCTGCTCTCTCAGGTTAGAAGGAAAAAAATATGTTTGCATCAAGAAATAATTGTTTATTCTCTAAGGCTATGATACAGGGTTCACATGTTAAAGTTAAGTGTCATATCTAAAAATATTGAGTTAGTATTTTTCAACTTTGGAAGCCATGGTGCTAGAGCTCTCCACAGATGGACGCATCTAGCCCCAGGCTGGCCATCCATCTTTGTTCTCCCTCCAGACAGCAGGGAGAGGGGGGAACACCCCACAGAACAGACTTTCAGACATGGAGGATATTAGAAATCTGTGAATTTTCTAAGAAAGAAAATTGTCTTTCTTATTTTCTGCACATTTTGGGGAACCAATGTGAAAGAATTGAGGCAATACATTAATCTTTGTTAAGGAGAACTTTAATAGAAAAAATGATGATTAAACAAGATACATCAAATTCAGTAGAACCTCAGAGTTATGAACAACAGAATTACAAACTGACAGGTCAACCACACACCTCATTTGGTATCAGAGGTACGTAATCAGGCAGCAGCAGCAGCAGAGAGCAAGAAAGGAAGCAAATACAGTACAGTACTATGTTAAACGTAAACTACTAAAAAAATAAAGGGAAAGTTTTAAAAAAAGATTTGACAAGGTAAGGAAGCTATTTCTGTGCTTGTTTCATTTAAATTAAGATGGTTAAAAGCAGTATATTTCTTCTGTATAGAAAGTTTCAAAGCTGTATAAGTCAATGTTCAGTTGCAAACTTTTGAAAGAACAACCATAACGTTTTGTTCAGAGTTACAACCTCCATTCCCGAGATGTTCGTAACTCTGAGGTCTACTGCACAGAAATTGTTTATAATGTTGGTGATATGTTTATATTGGTTATAAGGTTTTTATAAGGTTTATGACATAAAAAACAATCAAAACTGACCATTCCTGCCCAGTCACTGTACAAATGTTTGAGCAGTAGTGTCCTCAAATCATGTGTAGTGCATAATATAAACCTTAAAAGTGTCAAGGGATGGTAACTGTTGCAGGCTCTAGTGTAGTTCTCATTCAGAAACATAGGAAGAAATATACAAGAATTCTATAGAGTCTTAGGGAACAAAATGTATAACATGACATATAACACATCACAAAGTCAAGAGCAGATAAGCAAAAGTGATTGACTGTAATAAAGAATTAGTTGTCTTATTAACCCCACGTTTAAAAGTGCACATGCTCAGGGAAAATCATCACTGCCAGGAGACGTGTGGAGTGAGCAAAGAGAGCATTGTTACCCATGGAGGTCGCTGAGAATAATGGAAAATAGGACTATTGCTTAGACAGGATGAACAGAAATCTAGATAAATGCAATATCCATGAAAATACTATTGCGGAGAATTGATTTAATGGCATTTTAAAGTGCACCCAGTGTATTAATCTCTCTGTCTATCTTGCACTCTTTACTGTGATACATGAGGCTTAGGCATTCCCTTTTATTTTCCTCTTCAGTGCCGAGGGACGGAATTTTCAAAATACCTACAAGAATTAGGCGTCTTTCTCCCATTGCAGGTCACTGGGTTTGGACACTTAACTTGCTAAGGTGTGTTTTAAAATCCTACCTGTAGTGCATGCTTCTGTCATAATTACAGACATGCAATCAGCAGCTAACTCAGTGGTGACCTGTGAACTGCCAGTGATCTGTAAAGCACTTGTTGGTGGCCCATGGAAGGGTATCTTGTTTCCATATAACATTAATGTATTTTGGGCTTCTTTTAAACCCATTCCTAACACTTTCCCATGTAAACAATTGTTTAATATAGCCATAGGGATTTTATTTGATCATCTCTCAGAGTGGGGAGGTGGTCCAGGTAAAACTGTGAATGGGAAGAGAAGTGTCCACAAGACAGTGTTTCTATTAAGATGTGGATCAACTGTGAAGGAGTTTCAGAGCCCCAGAAACTAGTTATCTACAATGTTGTCTAAAGTTAAAGGATTATTTGTCACCATCATCTATATGAGCATGACAATTTATATGAGCTAATTCAGTGAACAAATTAATTCTTAACTCATCAGTCAACCACCTAATGGTTTTTGGAAATCTCCTGAGCAAACTACTGTGGTGGATTTAGTATATTTGTAAAATGAATAAATCATGGTTGGGGCATAGAGATTTGACTACACTTGTAATGACATGTGGCTGTTAAAGATGGCCTACATACTTACACTGTGGTAATTCCATAGAGCTTGTTAATGTCTGACAGGGTTATTTTGGGTACTTGAGTGCACTGATGGCCCTTAGCTTAATGAAGATTAATCCCATAGCAAAAGAGCAGTCTCAATTTTCGACTGCTATTACCAAGCAAGTGGAAACTAAAATGTGTCAATTTAATCAAATGCTTGAACCCTAATACTCCCTTTATTTTACTCACAAGCAAAGGCATGAAAGTTATGCAATATTCAGAGGAGGTGGAATTTCAGGATATTCTGTTAACTATATTATCTTATTAGTGAATGAATTGAACTGATTGTTTCTGGTCACCATGTCCTTCAAGATTTTAGAACTTTTTTATTCATAGTTTGGTAATGGAAAAAAAGTTTTCCTGCTTTTCCAACCCCCAGTTGGGTTCTAAACTTTCAATGAACTAGTCAACAAACTGAACTAATTGAATTAACTGAAATTAAAAAAATATTATTTAAAAAAAACCCTATTTATAATTAAATATGAAATTGACAGCCTATGTTAAGGCCTAAACTACTTTTTAAAAATATTTTAAAAATAATTTAAAAAATAAACTTGTATTTAATTTATATAAAAATAATCTGATATAATATTAAAATATCTGATATTTTTAAATAAAAGACCATTGATATTTATCCCCAACCATGCCAGTCAACTAGATATATAGAAACCTACCTTGGTCCAACATTTAGGCAGGTGGCATTTAAGTCTGGGAATGGGTCTTAAGAAACAGGCATGGAGTAGGAGCTGCAAAGAGAGCATACGAGATAAAAACAATGCATTCCACATTAGATAATTCATATCTCAAAAGACTCTAGTGCTTACTAGGAAAGGAAAACAAAGGGTTTATATTCTTTTCTTTGTGTATGTGGACTTAAATATGAAACGTTTCTGTGTATTGAATAGAGACTAGACTCCACACACACACCTCCCCCCACCCCGCTCCCATCAGTGTGAGGAGAAATTTCATTTCAGCACAAGTAGATTGTGATTCTCTGTTTACGTCTTACATTTGATTGCAGTTGTGGATCCTGAAGCAGAAAGGAACAAGTGATGATAACAAATACCGATTGGAGCAGAATCTAATCAAGGGACAATCAGTCATTGACTATAGTGTATTTTCTTATGATTCTAATTGCTGAATTTATCGTAAATGCATCTTCTGTTGAGAAAGGGTTGAAATAAGAAGGGTAATAATATTTCAAGCAGCAGCACTGTGTGACTGGATTGAATGCCAGATTCTTCTCTTTCTTTCACCAGTTTTACACCAGTGCATTGTAATTTACACCACTATACGTGAGAGGAGATCAGGCCTTTTCTATGATGACAATTTTGAGGTTTCCTTGAGCTTTACAATTTACTTCTGAAATTAAAGATTTTTTCTGACTGAAACAGCTGTGCCTGATTGTAATTCCTCATAAGGCAAGTGAAAAGGGTTCTGTTAATTTTAATGGATTATTTTTAAAATTCAAGAGGTATTTTTTAAGGAAAAAATATTTTTGAATCTTAAGCTTTTTAACTGTTTGAGGTAGATAAGTCTTAAAGAGACATTGTCAAATACTTTTTATTTTGACAATTGGAAACTGAGCCACTAAATGGATATCCTATTCCTTATCCCTCCATGTAAAAACTAACTTAACATCTTACTCTCTTGATTTTCTGCATGGTGAAACTATCTGCCCATTCATTTCTGTTCTTCTGAGTCTCTGTGTACGTTAGTTTTATTCCCTTCTTGGGGTACTTAGTCTTTTGACAAAGGGCCAGAACCTAGCCTGCTCTATGGCCCCTTTGCACTGCCAGAGCACTGCAAAGGGGCTGTAAAGCTGAGATAAATGGACAGATGTAGAGTCCCCTAGCACAGGGAAATTTCTTTTGGCATTGAGCCAGCGTGACTGAATCAATGTCATCTCTGCCCGCCCGTTGCCTCTGATGTGGGGGTGTGAATGGAGCGTGCTCCATTCAGATGATACCTGCTGGCATTATAATTATTAAAATAACTTTTCATTTTTGCATCTCTGGCTTGGAAAATTTTAGGACTTGTCTACACAGGGGGTTTAAGCCAGATTGATTTGACATACACTGTTTTACTCGCAGCAGGTAAGAATCACTAATAGTGTGCACATGGGATGGCTGTGTCTCTTCCAATTTGCATCATTGTGTACAACGGGGCAGCTTGCTGCATACTAAGCATGTGGCATTCTTGGAGTGTATCCCATAGTCCTTTGCTTTACTGCTGAGCAGTGTGCATTCTGTGATTTCTCTCTCTCTGCAATGAGGGATGCATAATGGAAGCCAGGAGGGTTCACATTTTTCAAAAAAATCCACGTTTTCTTTGTCTCTGCCCCATGATTCCTTTCTGGCTGGACTAACATCACTTTTGAATTGCTGTGGGCCAGCATGGCCCTAACAATGCTCCACGCCGCTATGCTGACAACCGCAAATCCTCAGGCGGCTTTGGCTGTATTTCAACACTCAAAGCAGGATGAATTTGGTTTTGAACTTCACCTGCTGCACCACTGAGAAGATGATTTGGCAGTAGCAGCAGCTCCTCCAGTAGCACCAGAAGTTTCAGGAGCAGTAGAGGAAGTGGGATGAAGATAGGGTGACCAGATGTCCCAATTTTATAGGGACAGTACCAATATTTGGGGCTTTATCTTATATAGGTGCCTATTACCACCCCACCCCGTCCCGATTGTTCACACTTGCTATCTGGTAACCCTAGATGAGGACAAGGAAGAAGAGGAGGACACTGAGCAACTGATACTAAAGGAGTGGTTCCTGGAGCAACTTCACACCATGCAGTGCTGTTTCTGGCCTGGGAAACCAGTGTTAATTAGTGGGAAAGGATTGTTCTGAAAACCTGGGATGACTAGCCGTGGTGAAAGAATTACAGTGTGGTGAAGGCAACCTTTTTTTATATGTGCCAAACTAGCCCCAGAGCTGCAGTGACAAGCATACAAATATGCAGTGCTCCATACCCATGGAGAAGTGGGTCGCCATTGCCATCTGGAAACTGGCCATCCCAAATGCTACCAATGCGTAGCCAACCAATTCAACCATTGGGGCCATTGTCATGCAGATCTGCAATTTCACAGAAAGGTACTGTTACACCACGCTATAAAGCTAGAAAGGTACTGTTACACCAGGGTATAGCTCAGGAGATAATTGATGGCTTTGTATACATGGGGTTCCCTAAGCATATGGGAAATTGATGAGACCCAGGGGTCCATTATTTGAGTCCCCACCCCTGCCCCCAAGGATTCCAAATTATTAAACAGAGAGGGGTATTTCTCCCTGGTGCTCTAAGGACTGGTTGACCACTGTGGCAGGTTTACAAACATAAATGAAGAATTGTTCGCAAGCGGCCACAGAGGTATTATCTTTCGGAACTCAGTTCTGTGGACTGTCTGGCCCCCAGATCACTAAGGACATTCGTGGTGTGGAGATTGCTCTGGTTATCCTGGGAGACCCGGTTTATTCTCTGCTTCTATGGTTAATAAAACTGTTCACAGGAGGCTAGGGCAGAAGGATGGAACTGTTTAACTGCCACCTCAGTAACTGCATAATGGCAGCGGAGTGTGCATTTGGCCACTTGAAAGGGAGATGGCTCTGTTTGTGGAACAAGCTGGAAGCTTCAAAAAAATGCTTAAGAGTGTAGCTGCATGTTGCATTTTACACAATATTTCTGAAAGGGAGAAAGTCTTAAGGAAGGGTGGGAAACTATGAGGCAGACACTTCCTCAGCGGTTTGAGCAGCCAGCAAGGCATCCAACAGAAAATAGAAACAGAAAGGTCAACACTGTCAGAGACACCCATTACTCTTATTTTGAGTCTCAGGCCTGAAAATGTGCAGCTGAACATCCAGTCATTAACCCACAGAGCAAGGTGGGATGGACTGTGAGCACTGTGGCATTGTTTATAGGTGGTGGAAGTGGAACGCTATGGCGATCCTTATTTTGCTTTGTGTCTGTGCCTAGATACTTTTGTAAAATCCTATGAATTATTTAAAATCTATGGATCCTCAGTGTAAAATGCATTGATGGCTCTTTATAAAGGAATTGTTAATGGTTTTTATTATTATACACTGTATTATATGGCAAATAGAAATAAACCTTGAATTTTTGTTTGTTTATTGTTTTAATTAAAAATCATCTAGTGCAGTGGAAGACAGAACATAACAAGAGGAGGGGGGGATTCAAGTCAAGCTGAGCAGATACCTTACCCCTGCCTCTTCTTGTTCTTGGACCTTCTGGTGTTGTGCGGTGATGCTCAAAGTTATCAGGACATTAGATACCTCAAAAAAGCTGGTCTTCCAGCTGTTCTTGCGGCCCTGAGTTTGGGTTTGTGAAGGGAATGGCCTCTGGGAGCACAGCTGCGGGGGAGGAGTTGCTGGTGATTCTAGTACTGTATTCTGTATTGCCCAGGGGTTGCAGAATATGGCTGGGTCTGGTTTACTGCACTGCATTGCCTGCTGCCCTAATAGCAGCATGCACTGCAGCAGAGCATTCTTGCTCTGTCTTGCCTGCAGGAATTGCATCTCCCTCTCCTTTTCAACCATCATTTTGCCATGATAACACTGTCCTTTATCACTGTGACACTGTCTTTGGCCACTCCAACCATCTCTCTAGAGAACTCCATTTCTTCGCCCTCTCTGTCCTCAAGTACGGTCTCCACCTTTCTGCTGTTTTAGTCTTTCTTTGGAACTCTGCAATGAAGTCTGCAACATTTTAATCCTGAGTTTTCCTTGTTTTGCCGCTCAGATTAGCCACTCACTCAGTCATTGATAAAGGCCTGTCCTTGAGGCTCTGGGCACTGCAGGGAAAACACAAGTGGTCATTGTTCATATTTCAGAGCGGCTATGATAGCATTTTGATATGAATTTCTGACTTTCCCTCCCCGAGATTCTTTTCAGACTTGATAAGTGGTGTGTGCATGAGGAAGGCTGTATAGTGATTTTTGTCTGTGAAATGTATGTTGTGTGGAGGCTTTGGTGACCAGGGAAGGGGTTGGGAATTATGATCACAGTTTGGATTTACATTTGCAAAAATGGTGTTGGAGAGGTTAGCTGGGCACATCTGGGGGTGAGCTGGATAGTAATCCCCACTACATCTCTTTAGGCTGTGTACTGACTCTCAATGATATTACACTGAGGAGGGTGACTAGGAGGCAGAGAATGGGCTTATTCAAAAAGGCAAAGGGCATACCAGTGAGATATACTGTGAAGATATTCACCAAGATGCTCCCCCCCGCCAAAAAAAAAAAAAATTCTGCAGAAGTGGAAGAATGACAGGCCAGCTATCCCCCATAATGTCCAGACCAAAATCAAGCAATTTTTCAGTCTGAGATTTTATTTTATCTCCTCTGCAGACAGTGAAATTAGATAGAAGAAAAATAGAAAGTTTTCTGCAATGATTGTCTGAAGCATTTACTGTTCCCAGTCTTTCTCTGTGTAAGCCTGCAAGAAGCCATTAAGAGCTTTACTTGCTCTAAGGTAAAGCTCTTTTCTTTTAAGAATGTGTGTTATAGGGCATTTATACCTCAGTGGAGAGCTGTAATCTTTGTACCTTTAGGGGCATGCAATGCCCATGTTTACCTCATGTAAACTGAGATTAGTAACCAGATTTCTCTTCCTGTAACTACTGTCTAAATAAACGGTTGAATTTTGAATGTGCCCTTCAATGACATGGACTTGAAAACAGGTGATAGTTGGGGCTTTAGCGTAACACAGAGACTGACTGCTCAGCTGGAGAAGCCGCCATTTTGAAAACATGGATAGGGGCCCGAAAAGACAGAGTGGGCTGAGGGAAGCAAGGGGGCAGGGGCTAGAGATTTGGAAAGCAGCCTAGCTGACATCTGCCTACTATGACTGCAGCATGGGGCACCTAGATCAGAAGCTAGCACAAGAGTATAGCACAATAATAATGATAATTAATTGTAAAGATAGATATGTGCTGAGGTTCCCTCAAGAGGATCTGCCTCCTGAGACCCAGGCTGGGTTCCTGGCTGGGAACTAGGCTCAGTTGCTGCATATCAGGGATTGGTCTTGCCTTCTATCTGACTGGCTTCAAAGTCCTGAGTCCCAAAGAGATCTTGGCTTTTCAGGGACAGTTCTTCACTGGCCTCCTCGTGTTCATCTTCCAAAGAGTCTTGCTGGTCAACCTTCCTGGGTTTCATGATTGTATATTTGATTAACATCATGTCTGGCTCTGCAAAAAATGGACAGGTCACATTTCCACTGCTGGACCTCTTCTGGCATCTCTGGTTTGAATGTACATTCTCCTGAGCTGTTTGCTCTTTATCCTGGACTGGTTGGTGTTCTGACTGACTTCTTGCAGACTTCTGCTTAGCAATGTTCTCAAAAAGATCTTTATTCTGGTGGCTGTCCACGAAAGTATCCTGCACTAATGCTTCTCCCCAAGTGGCGAGGAGATCCAGGGTCTCAGCACAGCTCCAAATGGTTGCCCCAGGCATGTTGTAAGGTGTCTGGAGTAATATCACAGCAATGCTGACAGACTTGAATACAGGAGAAAATGGGCAAATTCTGGCCCTGCGCAAGTTTTCAAAATGGGAGAGGGGACATCCAGTCAACTTGACACCACAGCCCTGGAGGGCACACAAGTAAATAGACAAACCAGGAATGGTTGCCCACAAAGCAGTTTGGGATAGCAGTTGCAGGACTGCCACAGCACCATTGAGTGTGCACAAACAATAGGCTGAACAAACTCTATTCACATCAAACTTAGTTCACTTTGAAAGAGGATTCCAGAGCTTGTGATAAATATGGAATTAGTGCGTTAAAATTAATTGTGTGGTGTGTACACAATCATTTTCACACCTACTTAAGTCAACTTAGTCTAGTTTAACACTCCCCCTGCACTGCACTCTCTTGTGTAGACAAGTCCTTAAATTCCATCTGGGACCAGAAGAGGAAACGCCACAGTAGTACCAGAAAGGCTATTTACAAGGTATTTCTGCTCAGCTGTGAAGCCAGAAATACCAGAAATTTAACAAAGAAACCTGTTCTCCTGAGATGTCCAATTTTCTCTTGCTTTCTCATGAGGTTAGGATAGTCTAGATAAGATTCCAGACTTTAGGACACTTACCTGAAGTGATCACATTAGTCCATTGCTAACTCATCAACTGCTAATTATTTTTAGCTTTTAAATTTACCATTGGGAGGACATAAATTGGGAAAATATTAATAATAAATTTATCTTTATGAGATGGGATGGCCTGGCCTTATCACTCTCAGCTGGTACAATGAAGAGATATGCCTAGAAAAGTCAGGTAAATTAGACCCTCGATCAAGCATCTGCACAGAACACCACAAAATAAATAGCACCTGTTTCACTAAGATTAAAAGATAGAGAAATCTTTGTATACCTTATGGTTGATATCTTTATTCTGCTTCCCATGGAGGTATAACTACAACATCTTATCTGACTTAAATTCAATGGTGGCCAGGTCTGCCATAGAAAAACAACTCTGCAATGTACATTAATTGACTGATTAGGGCACATGAAAGTGTCTTTTTCCCCCCTAAGGGGGGAAGCTAAATGAGTGTTATGTAGGAGATAATAGAAGTTTGAAAAAAACATCAAACATATATATGTAGGCCCTACAAGAGATAAGATGGTCAAAGGGGGTTTTATAGAGAATAAACTTTGGGTTTATGTGTGTTAAAGGGAAAAGTGTGATTGACAGGACTATTAAAACCAAACTCCTATGTCTAAATGATGGGTAGACTTTTCACATCAACACAATCAAGTCAGTGAGGGAGATTTAATTTCTCATCATGCTAACTCTGCAAAATTCTAATTCTTCCTTGTACACAATATGTCAGCTTTCATCAATGTCTGATGTTACTCCCTGATTTGCACTTTCTCTCCTGTATTCTCAGGCAGAAGACTGTATTTGATGCATTAAAGAAGATAGCAAATAGTTAAGAAATCGCAATCCACACAAACATCTTTTTTCCTGAAAGTCTTAAAGAAGGAATTAATCTTTTCTGGAAAAAGATAATACGAAGGAAAGCATTAAGACTGCACTGATGTTGGGTCGTGTACTGGAGTTGAGTTGGAGGCTGCTATTCATGTACATCTTTTAATATTTGGTCCTAAATTCAGATATAAACACATTTATCCAACAATGCAATTGCGTTCATGATCCAGCTACCAACACACATACAGCCAGTCAGCCATTCCAGCCTGGCTAAAAATCTAGAGGGAGTCTTTACAAAATGAACATGACAACAGCTTCCTTCATCAATCTATTTGTTGACTGCTCAAATGGAAGTTGACTGAGACAACCAAAGGGAGACTGATTTAGGCAGCAGGCAACTTTCAGTCTGTACTCAAATTTGTTCATAGTCAAGACAAAATGCAAAGCAGTCCTGAAGTTTGTTTCCATGAATATTCCAATGGGAGAACACAATTAAAGCAATTTTCACTTGAGCCATTTACAATGCATTAAAATGAATTACTAAGAGACTTGGACCTTTTGTTTTATTTTACAATTGCACAACACAAAACCCTATTAAAAAAAGAACAGTGCACTAACCTTTGGCTGCTAAGTTAGGGAGCCATTTGTTCTGTGTATTCACGTATTGAGCCCTAATACTGTAATCATGTAGCCAACTTTTGCTTCCGTCGAAACAATTATAGTCTCACCAATTTAACAGAATGTCTTTCATATATAAAGATGCAGCTTGCTGTTCTTCTTTTGACAAAGGGTTTTGAGTGAAGGAAAGCTATTGCAAATACAGCTCCCTTCTGCAGAAAATAAAACGGAACAACCTATTAATATATAGACTCCAGTTCCCATAAGCAATTTGGTGATTTAGTATGGGTTGTCAGAGTGAAGAGTCAGAAAGGCAAGTTGGTCCTGGGGAAATAAGAAAAGACAGGATTAAAATAGTAGAGCAGTGAAAGCTTGAAAATACCCACTCTTGCAATCTACGTCTCCCCTTCTTAATAAAGTTCTTCAAACTCATGAGCTCCCCCTGCTCATCCTCTACAATAACTTTTAAATCAGCAGGTACCTCACAGATGTCTCTTAGATTGCTCAGCAAAGGCAATGACAATATATTTTCAGAGGACCTTTTCAGTACAATTTTATTTTCTCACTCTTCACACTTTCAGTCAGATTCCACTGCTGCCACATATAGACATCTTTATTTGTTTTTCCTGTTTAGCTGAACCCCACATCCATGCTGTCCTCAGTTTCTCACCAACTGCTGTATTTGAGGCTCTTCTCAGGCCATGTATACACCTGGAAGCTTTTCTTTGCTTATTGATCTACCACAGAGCATCACAGTCTTATGTTTTCCCCTTTATAGTTTAATTCCTTATGAATGAAATTAACAGGTAAATGTAGGATGAGGCCTGACTATTCTCTTATTTGAAGCAGAGTCTAAGAGATGCTTTTGTGTCAGAGGTAAAGCCTCTGGTGAACAATTCATTGCAGGTTTTTAAACAAGACATTTGTTTCTCAACTGAAAATATGTGCAGTTCTGCTGAAGAGATGGAGCTGAATTCAGAAGTAATGCAGAAGGTTCTGTAAGTCTACCTTAAACTCCTTTCCACCAACTTATACTTCCTTAGACCTATTTCCATCTGCTCTACCTGTGAGTAAGCAAATCTAAAGTAATGCTCTTACATGACAGAGAGCCAGGAGAAGGTGTAAATTAAAGCACTACTTTTACACCTTCTTCCAGTTCCTTGGCATAGAAGTTACACTAATTTACATTGTGAGAAGTGGTATAAGCAGGTTTTAGGTAGTTCAAGTGAATGCAATAGGTTTTATTTTACAGACCCTTATATATCACTTCTGAAATTGGCCTGCAGATCTTAGTAAACCAGAAGAGAGCCCAGAATGTCCCCAGTAGCCAGTAAATGAAACCAAAGTATAACATCAGGGGAAAATATTAAGGTGAACAGTGATGTTATGATGTGAATTATCAGGATAGAAACTTGATGGGAAAGATAATACTGTAATAGCCTCAGACTCAAGTGAGACAGCAACTCTGTAAAGATGACATGAAGCTGAGGTCAGCCTTTAATCCTGGACCTTAGGGGCAAGAGCATATTAAATCACTATGAGAAGTGTCTAGTTTGGGGAAATTGTATTTACAGAACTCAGTTTAACTCAGCTCTGGTTGCCCAAACCTGAAGTGCAGTGAGGTGTTGTTGGCCGGCTTCTCCAAAGCTGGCTGACACTCTGAGGTGTCAGACCTCCCTACCGTGCCAAGCCCAAAGTGCAGTAACAGTATACTGTCCAAGTTTGCATGCAGGTTGGCTTCAAAGGGGAAACACTAATTGCAACTTGGATTGCTTTAGAGCGAATTGGTTTGCATAGCTGCTTGGTACTCTCTAAAAGAAACCCATTGAGTAGTCAGAGTTACCAATTTGCATTCGCAAGAGCATGTACTCACAGTGACCAGTTTGAGCATGTGTGCACATATTATGTGGGGATATCTACACTGAAAAATTTGCCCCTATTTTTGAATCACATTAGAGAAACTTGGATATCACAGTAATGGGTGTTTACCTAGATAAACAGTTAAAGCTGTAAGACAGTTTCTCTTATAAACCCTATTTTACTGAAAGCAACTCCATTCTAGATGACATTTCTCATGCAAAGTTTCTGCCTAGAAAGATATTTTCAAAATAAATATTCTGAGATTAATTGGATAATCTGCTTTTGAGTTATGAGACTGACATTCTAGTTTCTAAAAATTCTCTTTTTGTTCAACTGAAAATTAAAAAGGGACGATGTAAACATTGCAAATGTTGTTTGTATGCCCTAATCCTCAATAAGAATTAAAACACCAGACTACTATTACCATGTCAGAGTGGTGAAATTCTATTTATTAGAGATGATTTCCATAAAACTTCCATGAGCAACATGATAAACTGTGCAAGTGCCACTTCTCCTATTTCACTGTAAGTTTCTTTATTTTAAAAAGGTTAATAGACCTTTTTCTCAAGAAGTGAGCGTTCCAGAATAGAAACAAATCTCTTCATTTGTGAGGTTTGCACTAGATTTGGGTGAGTTTTGCCAAAAAGTGTTGGCTAAAATTGTTGTAAGTAAAACCTACTGATTGTCTTAATTGATATGCACAGCCCCTTTTATCTGCCTGTTCATCAGTAAGCCTCTTCCTTCTCCCAGAAGCAGATATGTTTGGACAGGATCCTGTGAGAGGCAGCAGGGAATAGCTGCTACTGTGCTTCCATCTCCTTCATTCCGCTACGCGAAGGAAACAAGTGACTGTGCACTTAAGGGTTGTATATACACAAAGAATATTTACATGTATTCAAAATTATGTTATCTTGAAATTATTATAGTACATATACATTTGCTTATTAACATTAACATTTTGAATGTATGCATATTTTTTTATTCTTCAAAGAATATGAGCCAGTGTGCTGACTGCCTCAGCAGTCCTTTAGGCTTTAGAATCCTAAAAGGCAGATTGTATATATGCCAACACTGGAGCTACAATGGAGAAGGAGAATGTAAGAAGCAATGCTCCTTCACAGCCTCCATCATAAAGGCCAGCCAAAATTGCGGTCCTTTCACTCACCTATGCACCAGAATTACATGGGTCTAGTAAAACTTTCAGAACTCTTGCCAATTAGATAGTATTAGCGGTAGTTAGCATATTTTCTGTGCTATCAAGGAAGAAGAATGTTCTCATGGATAAAGTTAGGACTGGGACTCGGGAGTTATGGGTTTAATTTCCTGCTCTTCCACAGACACCCTGTGTGACCTTGGGAAAGTTAATCTCTTTGTCCCTCAGTTCCCCATTTGAATAACGGAGAAAATATTTTCTTCCTCCCAACCCTTTGTCTAGTCTATTTTGGAGTGAACCAGAGCCAATGGGAGTCTGTGTACTTACATTTTAGACAATTTGAGGTAGGGACTGTCTCTTATTATGTGCTTATACATCACCTAGCACGATATGGCCCCAATTGTGGCAGGAGTCTCTAGATACCGCTGTAATACAAATAATGAAATAATAATAATAATAAAGGTATTGTTATGTGGTTGCCATAGTTTCACTGAAGCAGGTTTTCTGGAAATAAGCATTCAGATAAATTGTGTTTGCACATTTGCTAATTTATATTCACAAAAGGAGCCACAATTGAACACACCAGTATGTCCATCCAGAGCTGAATAGACATTTCAGTAAGTGCGAACACGAGCCTTGCTGGCTGATAATTTTTGAAATGCACTCTGCACCGTCTAAAATCAAATAAAATAACATTATTCTGGAATTGTTTTTTAAACCTACAGTGTCAAATTTAAATGTTAAGGCATAATGTGAATTGCCAGGAAATTTAATAAATATAGAACAAATATTCATTCTACAGTATACGGTACTGTGCTCTACTTTTAACTGAGCCAAGGTTTCATTTCAAACAAACTGTCATGAGATATGCCATTTGATACTTGTTGCTTAAGTTTATGGAGCTAATGAATACTAAGGGAATCTGCCCAATAAAGTAATACACGTCTCTGCCCAAATCCGCTTCCAAGCTATTGGCAGTGTATGTAGCTTTAACAAACTAGGGTGACTTTATCTGGTTACTGAACCTCTAAAATCTGTACCACTAGGGCCAGCTAAATTGTCAGTTGCAGATGAAACAGAGACTGAGCCTAGGTAAGGATGGGATGGCAGCTTGTAAGAAGTCTCTTATTTAATCCATTTTGTTTTATTTGTATTTTTATTGTTTATTTAATCCATCTAGTTACAGTCATTTTAGTTTATCTGAAGACATGATTGGTTCATGGATTACATGAGACATAACATTGTCCCTGGAATGTTCATCATAAAGGTTTGCTGATGTATTATATATAGAGAATTTTTTGCCTCTTTATAGCAACTCCCACTTATATCATGGTAGTGTGTCATGTACTGTTCCCTTTTCACCTATGAAACTCCCCACATACCTGCTGTGGTGAAAAATTTAATACTTGTGTCTGTAGTGTTCCTTCTGGTTATGCCTGAAGTATCAGCTCTGAATGACAGTGTTGTATTAATTTGAGTAGAATATATACGCCAAAAAAAGAGTCAAAGGTGTTAATATGACCCCACCACTCTCTAGCAGTTTGGTACGCAGAGGCCTCAGCCTGCATAGAATCATGGCAAACATTATTGAAAATCTCTTAAACGTTTCATTAAAGTTGTAGAAAAGGAAAATAGTCAAAGCATTTGAAACGTTAAGTTTTAAGTAAGGCTTTCACTGTAGAGAGTTTTTATAAGGAAACCCATTGTTTGACAGTCTTTTAGATGATAGTAAAGATGATGATAACTGACCTTTTGGAAAAAAGAGAAGTTGATTGAGATGGGCTCCAGCTGTTGTCATTGCTGTTGTTAAAGTCCAGTCCTGTATTCTAGAGCACAAAACAAGCAAACACACACAAAAGGGGAAAGAAAAGAAGAGCAAAGATGGAAAATTCAGCTTCTCTCTCTGGTGCTGACTCTCACTTGCAACCTCGCTGCTGACAAAAACACAGGAAAATTGTATGGTCTTATCAGCCACAGGGGCTTGCATAACAGGGGGGGGGGGAAGCAAAGGCACTCTCCCCCCATCCAGTAATCATCAGGGGCACAGAACTCCTCCAGCCCTGGAGCTGCAGTGCAGGGAGAGCGAGCTCCTCCTGGCCATGGGGCTGTGGGAGGAGAGTGAGCTCCTGCTGGAGCCGAGACAGAGAGAGGGAGGGAGGGAAGAGAGAGCTCCTGCCAGAGCAGGGGGCAGGGCACAGAATGTGCCCCCCTAAAAAGGGGTCAAAGTAAAATTTCTGCTCACGCCCCTACACCACTTTGAGGCCTGGCAATCTTGTACCAGCTTTGGGATATTTATGGCATTGCATTTAGCTGCCTTTCTGGTCACAGAGCTTACAGCAATGTTGCAAAATATACAGTCTTGGCTGGGTAAGCCAGACTATTATTAGAAAGAAGGAAAAAAGAAAGAGAAGAAATAATGCAGGGAAGGAAAAGGACATATTTTAAGGGTGGAGACAAAATTTCACATTCCAAGTGGTGGTCAGGATTTTAATGGAGCTAGTGGAGGTAACAGAGTCACCTGGGTCCCTCTCTCTGTTCCAAGATGGTCAGTGCATCTCTCAGGATTAGGATGAAGAAGGCCCAGGATCCCAGAAGACAGTGGGGCTAGCAGTCATGATGGCGAAGCTTGATCCTTCCACTTCTTTTGTCTTTCAATCAACCAGAATTTGCATCCCCTCATTTCAGTCAGCCACTGTTATGGTAGCCAGCTTTTCCCCCAAAAGTCTCATTTTAAGGACCCCAAAAGGAAGTGATGGGCAGAATAGCCCATTCCCTCATTATTTTATCTACCAATAAGCCTAATTTCTGACACACTAATTTTGGTTCACTGATTTCTGGTCCCACACTTGTCTTGTTTAGCGGGCATGATCTTAACTCAGTCCTTGAGTTATATCAGCTGCCTTTTGTTTTGACTAATTTAGGCTGTTTTATCTCCTTTTGCATCTGTTTCCATCAACGTTTGTTGTTTATAGGTTATTGTGACATTTCATGAAATTGTACTCACTTTTTAAAGTTGAGATTGCAATTAAGGTAAATTTTTAGACCCAATTATTACAACAGAAGCACTTTTAAAAATGACATCAGAGTATCTGCCAGTCAATGGACTGATTAAGGTGCAGAACATCCTTAATTGACAGTGAATTCAGTGGAAATGGAGGATGCTTAGTACCCATCAGGACAAACATATTTAGATATATGATATTATTCCTAGTCCTTTTTCTTCTTAAAAGTCATATGGGAAAATGTGCCCAGATAGGTACCACTATCTTTACACAAGCTCCTTAGAGTCCTGATTGTGAGTTTCTTTCTTTCGTAACGGCTCACAAGTCCAACACTTTTCCTAAAACAACCCGGCAATGTTTATTAGAAAACAGAGAGAACACTTAAGGAAACTAAAAGTTAGATCAAATACATGTGGGTGAGTTTGGTAGCTATGCATAGCCTAGCACTTCAGCTTAAAATTTTAACATTCCAAATACTTAATTGTACCTCCAGCTAATGTTGATCAGAACACAGGGAAGCCCCCTGGAATCTTTGGATAATTTGGCTGCCAAACTCAAACAAGTCTACTGAGTATATGCATAGATAGTACGCTTATTAAGTTTGCAGATGATACCAAACTAGGAGGGATTGCAACTGCTTTGGAGAGTCATAATTCAAAATGATCTGGACAAATTGGAGAAATGGTCTGAGGTAAACAGGATGAAGTTTAACAAAGACAAATGCAAAGTGCTCCACTTAGGAAGGAAAAATCAGTTTCACACATACAGAATGGGAAGAAACTGTCTAGGAAGGAGTACAGCAGAAAGGGATCTAGGGGTTATAGTGGACCACAAGCTAAATGTGAGTCAGTGTGATGCTGTTGCAAAAAAAGCAAACATGATTCTGGGATGTATTAACAGATGTGTTGTGAGCAAGACACGAGAAGTCATTCTTCCGCTCTACTCTGCGCTGGTTAGGCCTCAACTGGAGTATTGTGTCCAGTTCTGGGCACCGCATTTCAAGAAAGATGTGGAGAAATTGGAGACGGTCCAGAGAAGAGCAACAAGAATGATTAAAGGTCTTGAGAATATGACCTATGAAGGAAGGCTGAAAGAATTGGGTTTGTTTAGTTTGGAAAAGCGAAGACTGAGAGGGAACATGATAGCAGTTTTCAGGTATCTAAAAGGGTGTCATAAGGAGGAGGGAGAAAACTTGTTCACCTTAGCCTCTAAGGATAGAACAAGAAGCAATGGGCTTAAACTGCAGCAAGGGAGGTTTAGGTTGGACATTAGGAAAAAGTTCCTAACTGTCAGGGTGGTTAAACACTGGAATAAATTGCATAGGGAGGTTGTGGAATCTCCATCTCTGGAGATATTTAAGAGTAGGTTAGATAAATGTCTATCAGGGATGGTCTAGACAGTATTCGGTCCTGCCATGAGGGCAGGGGACTGGACTCAATGACCTCTCGAGGACCAAATTGCCCCTTTGCCAAATTTCAAGTCCATGCTCCAATGCATGGAAGTGCTACAGCATCTAAAGAAAGTGAGAAATCATTTTTTAAATCATGGGCAAAGCAATATATTTCCCCCTAATCTTCTTCTAAGAAATAACTCAACTATTTTAGCAAGAATTTTCCAATAAATAAATAATTACATGAAGACATAAAGAAATTCAGCCCTGAGGCAGACAGCCAATATGGAAAATGTGGGCCCAAATGGTTAAAGTTAGGGTAAGTTATAAACAAGAAGTGAAAACAAGATTTCATACAGTGATGTGTTGGCTGCCTCTATCTATAGGTGTCATTACCGATGTTGCCTATATTAAATCATACAAATACCTTACATATCTGTAGTGCCTTCTCCTTGAGAACCTCAAATGTTTTATAAGCAATAGTTAATTAATCTTTTCCACAAATTAATAAATAATAGCTGCTGAAAGTTGTTACTGTATTCTGATAGCTATTTAGCTGGGTTATATCATTATCTCAGTCTGAATCCTAGTAGCAGATAGTAAAAATAACAGAATTGGAACTAAATGAAAACCTCATTGGCGCTCCCAAAAGAGTAGCTAAGTAGCCAAATGGGAATGAGGATTGAACTATCCATTCATTCCTAAAGATGATTGCGACATAGCAGAGTACAATCCAGACTAATGAGAAACTGTGTTATCCCTGCCTTGTAACCCTGGGAGCTTTACAATGCCTCACTGAAACTGCCCCCACCTGGGCCACTCACAAATAGCCTTCTAGCATGGAATCCACTCCTTTAATGTCTGTGTGTAACTGCAGCCTGACAGCCACATTGGGTTACATTCTGGGTCTCACTGGTGTTGGTCACACTGCGGGGTGACCCCAACACAATACCAGTCTTAGATTTCCTTCCAGAAATGTATGTCCCGTACAGCCCAGCCCTCTGTGGAACAATACAAGTCATATTAAGTCTGTTATATTTTAAAGAAAATAGTATGCACACAACTTGTTATCCCAAATGGATTTTCCCAGACACTTCAATTTAAACACACTGGATTAGATAAAACAATAAAACAAGAGTATTAACTGTAAAGAGACAGATTTTAAGTGAGTACAAGTAATGAGGCATAAGGTCAGAAATGGTTACAAGAAAAATAAAGTTAAGACATTTACTAATACCTAACAACAAACTATAGCAGATTCAAGCAAAGTTTCTCACCATATGCTTTCAGCAGGTCTACTGATCAAACCTTGTAGGTCAGGACCCCTTCTCCCAGAGTCCAATGAAGGCTTTCTTTGTTGCTTCAGGTGTAGTGAATGAGACTGGCAGGGAGAGAGAAATGGGGTATCTTGGGGAGTTTGTTCGCCCTTTTTATAGTTTAAATCCTCCTCTTGAAAAACATTTTCAGCTGCGCACTGGGAGACAAAAAGTCTTTGTGGAGGGATGCTCCCTACTGCTTTTTTCTCACCTGTTTGATCTTCCTTTGTTTTCCTTCCTCCTTGATGAACCCTTAGTGCTTAAAAGCAAACTAAGCAGAGCACACATTCCTTTGTTTAGGACAGAGTTGTTTGCCAACTTCTGTTTGGACAGAGTTGTGGGGTTTAGAACATGTGATAATAACAGCATAGAGTGGAATCTTATAACTTCACATACAATGTTGCCACACATATTTTACCAGGTCAATACTAAGCAGCATATTGTGAGTTTTCAAATGATACTTAGCAAGGCATACTTTGTTCAAAGATTATTACAATAATGTGTAGGGTGTGAATACAGAGCTATATTCTATCACAGTGGTCTGATCAGTTCATGATTAAGTTACATCGGTAGGGCAGTGAGGGAGCAGTTTGCAATGCTGCTGCCCAGAGGATACTTGTTCTGAACTAAATACTTATTTCATCCTCATGTGATCAGTCCCATTGCCATCAGTGAGTCATCTCTGGTAGCAGAATATGGCCCTCTGTAGATAAAGAGAAGATATGCAATTCCAGAGCTGTCATGCTGACTCCCTTGACGAGTAATAGTGTTCATCTGGGGCATAAAGTGAGGCATTCTGATTTTCAGAGGACTAAAAGTAAGGATTGCCAAATGAACAAAGGATGAGGGGTAGGAGTGAGCATTGCTGAATTACTCTTATAAGTGCATTTTAAATTGGACATCAAAGTACTATTTAATTTGTAAAGTAGAAGAATAAGAGCATAAATAATAAAGGGCAGTGATTTGTTTGGAGGTTAGAAACCCAGAAAATTGTTGCCTCACTCAGTAAACAAACAAATCTGTTCACTGGCTCAGGGCATTCACTAACAGCATGCCTCCTTGCTATGTTCATCTGTGGCTTGCATTATTATTTGACAAATATATTGGGTGAGATTTTCAAAAATGCTCAACATTGGCTGAACTGCTCACACTGGAATTAATTGTAAAACTCTCATTCAAGAGTGCCATTAGGCCAACACTGAACACTTTCTAAAATTCCACCCATTATGTGTTTGTATTTTAACTTGGTTCTCAGATTCAAACACATTGGGTAGGATTTTCCCCTCCTTAGGAGTTTCATAAATAAATCACTGCAGAGAGGAATATTAGATAATGAGGAGTGGTATAAAAAGGTGAACTGATTGTTCCTGTTCACCTTTGCCAGCAATATAAGA